ATATACATATGTACTGATTCACAGTTAAGACCCAACAGAAAGCAAAAAAGCTGCATTTACATGCAATAGCAATGGAAGTAAAACCTATGTGACTGTACCCAGGGGAGGCCTGCACGGAGTATTCTGAGATTCATTAGCTGCTAGAAAGAAGATGACTCATTGTGGTCTCCCTGACCTCTTATTTGTTTTTCTCTCATTTATTCCCTACCTTGCATCACTAGCAAACTTGCATCGAGATGCCTGCTTATCATTCAGCAGTACACCAACAGCAGTACAGACGGAACACCACCCATAAAGGCAAGACAGAGATGTAATCCACCTCTTCAAAATAAAAATGAGCAAAATTTAATTTATCAAAAACATTGCTCAGACTAGACCAACAATCACTCTTGCATTTTCCCTACAGCAAAGAAGCAAATGAACTGGCAAGAAATTGTGTTTTAAGAGAAAATTATGGCTTCTGAGTGAGTGGTTCTTTATCTTGCAGTGTCTGTGTGGGGGGAACAGTGCGCCCCTCCCTCAGGCAGAGACTGCAGTTGAGGTTTGAGGCTGCTCTGGTATTACCATATACACTCACAGATTCACAAAAAATACTGTCACACCTCATACTGGCTGTGCCATGAATATCAATGGTTGCTCTCCTTTTGGACTCACTCTACAAAACAGACAGTGAAAAATGTTCATGCATGACTACGTTCCACCTGGCCCACTCCATATATCCAGTTTAATGGGATAATGAACACACAGTATAAAGGAATTGTGCATGACACCAAGCTGTTATGCACAATGCATGACTTATGTCACTGACTTTGCTCCTTCAAGGGACTATATTTTTGGTAGCTGTTTCAGGTGGTGTGTCTGTGACATTCCAACAAGTCACCTTGACAGTGGTGTGAATAATTTTGGTAATAAAAACAGAAATGGCATTCACTCAGGACTAGAAAATAGCAGTTGTACTGTGTGAAATACTGAGGGTAAATATTTTTTGCATTAGTCTGGAAATGATTTTGCTGACACATTTACTATGTTCACACCCCCTCCTGATTCCAGGTCTAGTTAGCCCAGCAAGGGAAAATACTCACTCATTGCTAATGGGCAAATACAGTCTCCATCCAGAAATAATAAGGAAATAATTTGAGTGAAATGTGCCTCTTGAGTGTCCAGGATTCTTGCGGGACTTCTTTTCTTCTGTGTTGTTCTTTTTGCAAGTTCATACCCACTTTCACAAACACAGCTGGAACTACTCTGACTGCTCTTTTGTCTGAAAGCAGAGCAATCGACAGAGGTGCCCTGTGCAACCATCCAGGTGTTGAGCTTGGCACAGACAAGAAGAAGAACCCTGTCAACCTTTCTGATACGCTTGCCTGTGTTCGAACAAAGAGGATGCTTACACACAGGCATAATTGAAGAGATCATGCAGTACCTGCATTTCCTCCTGCCAGGCAGTTTCCAAGTCTTCACAGCTGTGCAGGCAAACTATCCCGCAGAGAAATGACAAAAACAAGGAAACAAAAATCACAAAGTCAATAAGCAGCACTGAAGCTGAATTAGCTACGTCTTTGTGGGAAAGAATGGCCCTGATGATATTGACAAGGGAGACCCGTTGTGTTTTTGATCCCCATTCAGAGCAACAAACTCTGCAGGAATTTTTTTTTGAGGTGGTCTACAAAGACATGATTAAATAGAAAATAAATAAATATTCATAACAATGCCAATGCAGTGCCAGATGTTACTGTTAGTTGCTCTCAGAATACCAGTATCCCCAAAGACCATTCACTCTCACAGACACCAGGGGTGAACACACACACACACACACACACACACACACACACACACACACACACACACACACACACACACACACACACACACAAATGGAGGCCTGCAAAGAACACAGCACATAATCCATCAAAGCTAACTTCTCTCCTACCTAGTGACCAAACAAGTTCATGAGGCACATTGTGACACTTCCCACTGGGGCAACTCCCTACAACTTATGTGCTTATCATACCGTTAGATATTTTTGAAAAAGATGGCCACCCCGTTGTCTATTTATGATAGATAAGACCACTCCTCTGATAACATAAACACTAAGTAACTCACTGAGAAGGCATTCAAATGTCAAATTTGCATCGGTACCAGAGTGGAGGGAAACCGGTCAGCTCAATTACTGACACATAGGAGATGATGTTCATGTTCAATTTTTCATGGCAACAATGTTTTTAATCACTGTGAATAAAATATCATTAGATATATGATTGGTTCATTTGTATGCAGATAATTAACAGATAGATAGATAGATAGATAGATAGATAGATAGATAGATAGATAGATAGATAGATAGATAGATAGATAGATAGATAGATAGATAGATGGATAGATAGATAGATAGAAACCTCATAATGTTAAATATTATTGTGAGGCAGCTTTAGTCTACTAATTAGCAGAGGCAACAGAACAAACTAATCACTGTTATTTAATTACATCTTTGTACTAGCCAATTAATTCTGACCTAACAGAGGTTAAGCATGTCTGTTGAATGCATTTCAATAGTAGACATGTAGTTTTTTGTGATTCTCTACTGAGCCCAGGTCCACAAAAAGGGGGTCATAGGTCAGGCTCAGTTACACAACAACACCTCTGGAGGTGTCGGAGACTCTGTGTGTTTCTCAAAGACACTTAATCAGGGCAGATCTTATTATACACTATATGGTAGCATGCAGCTGTTTTCAATCATTTCCATGAAAAAACCACAATCGATTACAGATGCATGATATAATCCAAATAAATGCAGTCATATCAAGCATGATTACTCATCTCAGTATGAGTTGGACTGCCCTTGTATTGATGTTATATTCCCACATGCACTAATTAGACATTTCTGTGTACAGAATACACTGTTGGAGTAATACAACACTGGCAGTGCACATGCTCACATGCATGAATAACAAAACTACTCCAAAGAGTGTGGCGATGAATGCAACATTCCCTTTGTGAAGTAAAGGACAGACCGGTTCAGAAATTGTGCACAGCAGACAGACAGAGGGTGTGGAGAATCTGTAGTGCAAACATGTACTGTTAAAAATTGTAGCTCCAACAATCTATTTCACGGTCTCTGAATGGCAGCGTTGATTCAGCACCATGGACAGTGACACGAGGCAGCTCTGAATGTGGAGGTTTGAGCTGACATCATTTCAAACTAGTGTTTTATTCTGTCATTTTTCCCTCCATCTATTCACATTGTCTTCATGTGTTTGAGAAAGAGAAGCATGCTTTGTTTTTAAATAGTGCAATACTCCAAAGGATGCTGTGTGTTGCATTCCAGCATGCTGCGCTCTTTTTAATTATTCACCCAAACATGCCTTTGATCCGAGCACCTGACCAAGCTTCCGTTTTCTTTCCCAATCGTCCTTTTAAATGAAAGAGGCTGAGGTTTCCAACCATACATGAATATACTGAAAAGTACCAGTAAGCTTATGGAGAAAAACATAAATCCAATAGAAAGACGATAACACATATGAAGACTTGAAGAATATGTTAAAAAGACTATAGTACTTGATTACAGAAGGGTAGCCCTTGGAAGCAACTGCTGTAAACTCTGTTATCACAGTTTACTGTGATCTGTGGTTGTCCCTGAGAGTGAAGGAATTGTTTCAATGTAGATCCTGATGACTTATTTCATTATAGAATTTTATCACAAACAAAGAATATTTCTAAAATTAAGAATACACAGTAAGCTACATTCGACCATGTGAACACAGTACCACAGTGGAGTGGGCTTCAGTCCTCTGGAATCCCTACTCTGTTGGTTATCTACCCTAGGTAGTTAAAAGCATTCACCTGACATCCCAGGTGTAAAATAGTCCCAGTTTGATGGTTAGAATGAAAAACCAGCAGTGTCCTGGCTCCTGAGGTCCAGGATTGAGAACCACTGTAGAGATCATTTCTACAAAGCTTCACAGTAGTGTCTTTCATGACTGGTCCTCAGGACTTACAGCCCTGCTGGTTTTATTTCTGAACATCTGAGAGGGACTTTTTTATGCCCAGTATGCCACATGTGTGCAATTATTTACCTGACAGGATTTAAAAAAAGAAGTAAAAAAAAAAGAAACATAGGCACACCTGGGGGCAACAGACCAGAAGTATTATGAGGACAGAGCTCCTTAGTAGCATGGTCTGCATACTGTAAATCCTTTACACAATAATTAAAATGTATTAAAATGATTACTCAGAACAATAAAGGATACATTTTTTTGAACCACAGTTTTTTTTTTACCAGTTAATTGTTTCCCATTAATAAAACCAACTGATAAAAAGCCTCACAAAGGGTTTTAGTAAGGTTCAATTACATGAGTTGGCATTATAAAGCTACTATTCCCCCTTAAATTAACCTCAATTTGGCCTTGTTGCTAAAACAAAACTATATGATGTGACAAAGACAGGAGAAGCACATAAAAACTGCTTTTGCACCTTTAAATGCCCCAAGCTTTCCACTCCACACAAGTGTTTGCCTTCTCACTCAGCCATCCTGCTCTGTCTTTGGCCTGGGCCGCGCTCATTATGCAAATTAGGCGGTGGGCGGGGTCTATTCATAAGAGTACGAGTTGACGTCACGGGTAGTGTGGCAGCGGAGGGGAGGGAGGGGTTGGGGGTGGGGGGTGTTGGGGCTTGACTTAAAAAAAATGAAAACATATAAAGCATAAGAAAAAAAATGAAATAAGGCTGATTTCAAACAAGAGGGCTCAGGCTGTAAAGGAAGAGGAGAGAGTAGGGAGGGAAAACCAGAGGAAGAGTGGGGAGAGAGGAAGATATAAGGGAAGGGGGGGGCAGTGTGCACTGTGCAGTTAACTACAGAGAGAGAGAGAGGGAGAGAGAGAGAGAGAGAGAGAGAGAGAGAGAGAGAGAGAGAGAGAGAGAGAGAGAGAGAGAGAGAGCGAGCAGCCCGCCGGCCCATTGAGGAAAGATGGCTACAGTCACTGCAAACGGAGTGCAGCAAGAGAATGGATTCAGCACCACGAACAGCGCCGGCAGGATGAACGGGCTTACCATCGGCCAGAACACCATTCCAATGAAGGACCACGACGCCATCAAGCTTTTCATCGGGCAGATTCCCAGAAATCTGGAGGAAAAAGACCTGAAACCCCTGTTTGAGGAATTCGGAAAGATATACGAACTCACTGTACTGAAAGACAGGTTTACGGGAATGCATAAAGGTTGGTTATTTTGGCATCTTTACTTTTGTGTTCCTTTATAAATGATCAAAAAAGAGAGAGACGAGGAAAACAAAAACGCCCCAATTCAGTTTTGGGGCAGACAGCATGAAAAGTGTGTTAATTTGCAGATGTTTGGGACAGAGTGGGAGCCCCGTATATCCTTCACACACACACATAGGCTACACACTAACATACGCACACGCGCACACACACACAAACACACACACACACACACACGTTATATATATATATATATATGGGGCGTGAGAGGGAGAACACGTGGAAGTGAATGACTCGCAAATGCAGGGTTAATTGTTACCGCGTCCAGCCAGTCCACGTGAATACTACAGCTGAAAACGCCTTTGTGTGTTTACATTGACTATCATGTGCTGAGCATCCCAGTTTAAGGGGGCGGGACAGGCAAGCGCTCGGGGATGCTGTGTTATTTCTGCAGCTGCAGAAATTTCTTCACAACTTAAAAAAAACAAAACAACACCCCTCTGTTGTCCGTCCCTGTCCATTTGCTGCGTATTGTCGGAGAGAAATAAATGCTTTCAGGGGAGCGGAAAATGCAAACCATTATCGGGCAATCAGCATCGGTGATTAAGGTGGTGCTGGCATGCTGCTTTGACCTTTCAGCAGGCTAATATGCAGCATACTTTTCAGACGTCATTAGCTGTGGAAAATACTATTTACGTGGCAGCTGTATTGTATTGCTGCTGCTCCGTGGGCGGGTTGCAGTCAGGAAGTACAAAGCAGGATAATAGTAGAGGCTGAGATCCAGCATGCATCGTCTTCTCGCTCACTCTGCCCCCCCCCCCCCCCCCTCCCCACAAAACGCCCCCCCCCTCCTCCTCCTCATTGTTGTCCAAAACGACCGGGATCAGTATTCACTTAGTAATTAGTCAGTCAGGCCACGGATAATCAGGGATCGATCAGTTCTAATGATAGTTATAATAATGAATGCCAGAGTGCGGTTAGGTTTGGAAAGTCTTTCAGTTACATAAATAAAAGAATCCAGTCCACGTCCAAAATTACAAGTTCAAGTCTGGTAAACACAAGACAGGTACAGAAAAAAATTAATCCAGAAACGGCCAGAACAGAGTGACTCGTCTGTAAATATAATGACCACATTTTGAAAGCTAGTTGCTTTGTTCCCATTTTCATTTAGATGTTTATCTATTATTTATTACAAGCCTTGAATTACACTACCATTTTTTTTAGTGTTTAATATTATTCTATTGTGGCTTACAAGTCTAACAATTATTAAAATGTATTGACAAAGTATTATCATTTTTTATTACTAATTCTGACCTTTTTAGCCTTTGTCTAATGTTTTAGAGATTTGTTTTAGAATAAAAATCCAAAATAAGGTCATATTTCCAGTATTACCCATGTCATCATAAGCAGACTGTCTCGAGCCTGAAGCTTATTATTTTACTATCAGCTGAAGGACTGTGCTGTATTGAAAAATAATGATATAACACTGCTACTGCTGATCGTGACTTATGCTATTTTGTAGATAGTAGATATTAATGTGTCTTGTAATTTTGGATATAATTTTAAATCACACAAACACACATGCGCACGCACACACACGCACACTGAACACAGATTTGCACATAAGCATGAGTGGCATTGAATTCACAATCAGTTCACTCCCTGCAAAAATAATCTATTCACGAGCCAGGCAAATTATGTATGATATGTAAGTCAGTGGCTACAGTTCATGATCTTATCGATCAGCACAAGTAAAGCGCTCTTGTGGGAGAAATGAGTGTGGGCTCAGCATTACTTTCTTGTGTGTGTGCAACCCTGAAGGTCTCCATGCACCACCTGTTCCTTTAGCCATCAGTTGCTCGTACTCAACATGCTCCTCATTTTTCCAGTGTTCCTCTTTTGGAGCCCAATGATCGATTAAAACAATATTTCTGATGTTCGTGTTGTTTACGCCTGTCCTCAACCATCCCTGAATGTCAACACTGTGGAGGATGGTTGCCTCAGGAAGGATAATCCTGTTCCAAAGCCAGACAGTATGCCCGTTCAAATCATCCTCCACCAAGGCCACTCTGATGTATGCAGTATGCCCACTTCATCCCGCATGACATTCAAAGTCACTTTGGGAGCACAGGCGTGCACTTTTAATAAGATTTCACCATCGCATTATATGGATGAGTTTTTCTTATTGGCCACTCACCTAAACCATGTTCATGCCTCCTGCTGCGTCGATGTGTGATACCTGTAGACCGAAGCTGGAAAGTACAAGAGTAAGAAAATGGGATTAGTGTCGTTAACAAAACAGAAGGAGGTATAGTGTATCATTAGCTGTGTCAGTCAAGGAGAGCAGTTTAAAACAGTGAGTGAATGGCCACTCTGAAACCGAGGAGAGCTTTTGTAGGGGAATTGAAGGTAAAATTAATTACTTACTTAACTATAAAAGTTCTTTGAAATGCTTCATGTGTTCAAATTGAATTCTGTTATAAATAACACACTAAGGTCAATACAACACTCTTCCATATAATCACATTTATAACTTTTAAATTAAATTGTAATTAAATTGTTTTGGCACCAACAAATAAGTCCACTTAACAAAACAACAATATAATAATTATGATAATAGTAATTATAATAACAAAAGACAACTGCAAAGCATCAACTGTTATATTGGGTCTAGTCATACTGGTAATCATTTCCCTCCTCTTTTACCTGTCAAAATTGTGATATAAAAACCTAAAACTTTACAATGAGGTTTACATTTGTTTCTTTATTTCTTCAGCATGTAGCACAAAGACTTTGAGGTTTAAGACATGCAGCTGTTGTAGCGCAGAGCTGTGAAATAGTTGCATTGAAGACTCGAAGAAACTTGTTACAATTCCCATTTGAATTATGTTTTAACACAGAACAGGATCAGGTTCCCCTGGGTTAAAGGTTTTATCACAGAGTTTGTTCAGCATGTCAATAACTCAGAAATCAAAGACACGCACCTGCTTCAGCATTCTGGGATGTCCATTAAATATACACCTTATTATCTTTATGCTCACAATGGATCTTAATAACCACTTGAGCTTTTCAGCGTCTTTCCGCTCATTCTTTTGGTTTTCAACATTACTGTTTTCACTGTCACTTCTGTCATAGTGTTGTTTTTGGAGCTATTAACTATATGTTACCTGGCCAGCACCAAGCGACAGATAGAGAAAGGGAGTGATAGCTGCTGAATATATTGAAGCATTTAAGCTGAAGATTCATAGATTTTCCTCAGGAAACAGTGAGAACAAAACAACATAGCTACAAGGAGAATGGATACTGGAATTTACATTCATCAGGTGGCCAGAAAGCGACTCCAAATGAATGCAAATGCTAATTCTCTGTGTCTGCTAGATATGTCAGTTAAGTTTGCTAGTTTGCTAAATCAACTTATGATGGTTGGTGGTGAGGCCTGGACATTTTAACCTCTCTGGGTTGGGCATATGTTGGGGTCACGTGACAAGTCTCACAGGCTCACTGCCACCCAATAAAAATCCCTGGGATACAGCTTCATCTCTACTGCTACAGGCCAGTGGATAGTTTCATTTCAACCTGATGTTGCACTTCCTGGATGAATGATCTTAATCTACACATACATGCTGTAGCTGTGTGACTATCATCAGCAATGTAGCAATATAGCTCTTGGATCATTTCCTCTACCTCTCTACAATATAGGGTTTTGTAATGGTCTTTTGTCCACAGTGGTTTAAAACGTGGTTTGTCTTCTGCTTGCTGCACAAAAATGCATAATATGCCAATGGAAAGTGGTTAGATATTATGTCAAAGGCCTGGGAGGCATCTAATCTTGTAACATTATCACAAATTCCATCCACATTTTTATCATAGACAGTAAGACAAACTTTTTTTTTTCACAGCAGAGCAACAGAAGAGTGGGGGTGAGGATATAATCAGCTTGGCTCCACAATCCCTAAAAACATAAAGTTCATAAAGATTTAGTGGAGCGCCATGAATTTAGTTTGACTACAACTTTCAAATCCCTCTTTGAGCTTAGTTTGTGGCTGAGAAAGATTTGATTTGTTGCAGATAGATGATGTATATGGCTGTTGGCACCAGTTAGTAAACCATACCTAATGGATGATTTGCAGCACTACCTTTTCTCACAGCCTGAGTCCTGTGACACAGAATTGCACCATAATTATGGATTTAAGGGCAGATCAAAATATGTCATGTTTGCTCATGACTAATTCATGTGGATTGTACTGCATCCATTTGAACAGATGTTTTGTGCTTTGTGAATTCTTACTTTGGGCATTTAAGGATATCTCCAGGGACTTGTCTGAATATCTGGGGAATGTTGCATGTTATGTTTTGTTTTTTATTTCCTGTACACTTCAGCGGGTGAGCGTAGCTGTATGCTGACGTCTACTCAGAGAATATTTTTTCACGCCTTTCTTTTAACTGATGATTATATCCTACCCCGTAGTTGTTAGACACCGTTTCCTTTAATGTTGGTTTGATAGTTTGTGTGTCGTCAGGGAGCCTTACACGGCGCGTGGGATGACTTGACACTATTGGCGGGCATGGTGCTCGTCAGTGTGTGGTGCAGCCAGGTCGTGCTGTTTAACATCCATCATTTCGCTGAGCACTACATTATCATAATACTTAGTGTCAGTGCCAGAACGCAGGAATTGTTCAGACATGCTGAATGTTAGTGGGGGGCAAATCTTTTGCTTGAGTAGCGTTATCTATCAATCCGTCTCTGATGCTGAGAAGAGGGACTCTGAGCTGCACCACACAGCCAGGAGGAAGAGATACAAAGAGTTGTTAAATATCCTCATCCATTCTGCTCTCCTTGGTTGGTCCAAGCAGTGTAATTGGCTATAAATAGCCTGCCAAATTGACATAAAAAACCCTCATAGGCATTGAAATGTCAAAAGTAAACCTCAGTAGGGCACTAATATTTAATTGCAACTGACTCATAGAATGTAACAACAAATCTTTGAAAGTGTCTTTACAACTTGTAGACAGTTTTGTGGTTTTCTATGAAATCCAATTCTGTTGACTTATAGTAATGTCCACTGAGCCACAGATCTATACTTGTATTGGGTTTTATCTGCAGTGTGAGTGTTGTAGATGAAGCGTTGGGCAGTGATTGACAGTCTATGTAAGTTGAGTGACAGCTGTAGTTTAAGTCTACAGATGACCTCTTTGATCATTAGAAAAGGGGGCCGTGTGTGAACCAGACAGCTAACCGCTCTGAACAGCCCGCTCCAAGCACAGATGGACAGAATGACTGAAAGATGGAAAGATGCTCGGCAGGTAATAGCTCGGTTAACACAGACTCATGAAGCGGCGGATGAATCCTCGCATCGTATTTGTCTCAGTACCCATGAGGGGGTCATGCTGTCACATTCAGCAGCATCCAGTTGTTTTACATAATTTTTCAGCGCCTACATCTTTTTCGGAAATTAATTTGCATTCTTTTCCCACTTTAATGAACATTCTTGGATCAGACATGTGTGAGGAGACTGAAGGAGAGCAAATTGCTCATGATTCATGAATTCACTGCTAATGAATTGAAATTTTATACAAATTTGTTCTGGAGTTATTTCAATTACAGGTACCTGATGCCTTAAAAAAGCACAATTTACTCTTAATGCCTGGATGCATGCAATTGTGAGCACATACTAATTTCCATTTTAAAACAAATTGTTAGAAGAAGCGTTACAGGGGGAAAAGTTCTTTAAGTAATTACCCAAAACGTGTTTTGCAAAAGCAACGACACATCTCCCATTTCCTGCTCTCTCTTTGTACCAGTTTGCAGGGTTTACTTTTTCATTTGCCTTAAATATAATTTGTTGAACTTTTGTCCCTCACTGAAATTATAGTGTGGTAAACTGTCTTTGATTACCAAAGTATTATTTTCACCCCACTTAACCTGCTCATCACAGGGAGCCACCAGTCCTTCTGTTGAACCCCCACCACCCTCATTTTCAGAACCTTGCCCATGTTCACCTCCTCTTCTTCTTCTTCTTCCCATTTAGTCCAATTTATTTCCTACAGTCTTTAGAATATTTGGTTAATTCAAGCTTTGATTCACAGAGGAAATTTGAAATGCTATCTGAAGTATTTGCTGAAAATGAAGATATTTTAAATATCAGTATAAAAGCAGTGAAGTAGTGTTTTTTAATGTTTTTTTTTTTTTTTTTTTTTACAAATAACTTGTAAATAAATTGCACCTTACATTACCATTAAAGATTTAAACCTTGCTTTAGTCCCCTAGGTTATGTAATACATTGAACTGAACCATTGGGTCTGCTTCTACTGTCAAAGTTACATTGTTTGTGGTTATCATCGAAATCAGTTTGATGCATCACCACAGACCAATGGAAGTGGTATGTTTTTGAAGGAAACCATATTTGCATGGTATTTGCATATCATTTGCATGGTTGCATATGATACCAAGGGGAGAACAATGTGGGATAACTTGCAAGTATGCAATCCTATTAGCCAAATTAAAGTTTGAAGATGACAGCCCTAACCTGCTATCAGCTGCATCTATGTTACTTCCCCTCAAACGGTATCATTGTGCTTGTTGGTAGTTTATGCATCATATTTTATAAAGTGATCACATGTCTTTTTATGTAAAATATGAATCCTAAAATTACCGCCTATAGCTGTAAAATAAACAGAGTGGAGTAGAAGTATAAAGAAGCTTAAAACTCAAACACGGAACAAGTGCCTTAAAACTGTACTTAAGTAGAGTACTTCTGTAAATGTTATTTTCTGACTGAAACTGAACTTGGTAGTTAAAAGAAGGTCAACAGATGAAAACCCACAAATATCTTTATAAAACTATTACAACCCAAAGTGTGATTTTTTTTTTCAGTACCATGTTAAGTTGGAAACTTTATGCACTTTGTATTTTATCAAAGGACTTGGGACAGTCCACAGCTGCTTTCCTGCAAAGACAAATAAACTTTACTGGTAAACTCAGTCTAGAAAAAAAGCACTACCACTGCTGCGTCAGTGCTGCCTGATCTGCAGCAGGGACATTTTTAAACTCATGCTACAGAAATTCAAGTGATGACGAATTGCCAAGATATACACTAAACACCTGCAAAGCAGTAAGGTGAACAAAAAAAAAATGTTAGGGCAGTAGTAGAAGAGAGTCAGCAGCAGCCTACGATTCCCATAAGCCTTTGCTAGGACATGCCCCGGGAGGCTCACATCCCACAGTTTTGTAATGTCACAAAGGATGAAGAGTGTTTCCCCAGGCTCCCAAACTTTTCTGCTTTGCTGTGTGGCATGCTGTTTCATCAGTGTCGTTTAGGTGATTTTTCCTCTTGAGTAACTGCTTAGTTGTGGAGGAGGGTGAAGGTTGTCGTGAAAGGGAGCTCTCTTGGCCGGGCGCCAGAGTGTGTTGCTGGGTTTCGGGGGTGATGGGTGCTATGTGCTGCATGCCGGGTATCATCTGTGTGTGTGTAAGTGTGTGTGTGTGTCTGTGAGAGAGAGTGTGTGTGTGTGTGTGTGTGTGTCTCTCTTCTCCCATGAGAATCCTTGGCAGCAGGTGTGACATGTAGTAATGGGAAATTATGCTGCATAGTGCAAAACCTCTTCTGAACGGGGTCACCCACTGTCAACTCTGCCAAGCGCGTAACAGAGCAACCATTCACTCTTTAATGAAAGCTGTCACATTTTTGTTTGGGACTTATTTACTGATGCATATTCATTCTGTTTCCCTGAATTTTCTAACTTAAAGAAAAGTCTCCAGAGATGTGTGAGGGTACAGTTTCAGCTGATCACCACAGCTTTTTAATTATTTGGCAGCTCAAAAGAATTTGCATACTGTTTGACTTTTTACTTCTGTGTCCTGATCAATATCTATGAAAGAGATCATTCCTCAGGAAGTAGTATGCATAGTTTTTAGTAATTGGAAAAAAAAAATCTATCTATCTCAGGTGACTAAGCATTTTCCATCACTGCTCTGTTTAAATGTAACCTCCAGGAACACATTATTTCTGTTTTATTTTTGCTTAGTCCATTTTACTATATTAAATGGAAATGGAAAAAAAATGACAGAATTAGATGACAAATAATCACAACAACAATAATAATAATAATAATAATAATAATAATAATAGTAAAAGCAATGTGGCAAACATTATATTCTGATAAACAGTGAAGATATGCAGAAATTTAGCAAATCTAATCTGTAGCTGTTGTCATATGTTGAAAAAAAAGTGCTAAATTTTAATCCAACCAATATTATTTTCTCTGAGGGTATAGAACTATTAATGTCAGAGAGCCACATTCCAATTGTCAGCAGAGTATACAAATTCCATTGTAAAATAATACATGTTTTTGGCAATAGCTTGTAAAACTCCAATAAGTCTTGTATTATGGCCGTGTGGATTGGAATGACTTCAGTGGAATCACAAATCACTGGATCCATTTGGAAGATTACACAACGTGGTTTTTGCACGTTGGTTGTCGATTGGAAGTCGTTTGACATAGTCGATTGCCTAATCTCTGAACAAACATCGAGAGAGAGGCCTCACATCTTTACAAGTGCAACTTATTGGAGTTTCACAGTGGAAAATCAGATATGTGTTTGAATCAGCACAAGTTACATCCTGTAACCAGCTGAGTTCACTTTGTTCAATCTGAATGGGTGTACATACAGTAAATGTGATGAAGAATTTATTTTATTTTATTTTTTTAGATTCTCTTTGCCTTTTACAATGTATTACAAGTATTTTTTTTACATTTTAGACATTATTCTTGATGGGTACTAAATCCTGAAATCCCCAGATTATAGTATCTTAATGACGTAAATATGACTATTTGGATTTTACAGCTGTTAAGTGCCCTTAAAAGTACAACATACATTAAATGCACTCTTCTTTTAAACGCAACCATGAATCCTCAGTAACCAATACTTTTTTCTAATTCCTCTTTTCATTGTTAATGGTGGTGTGTAGTTGCGTAGCTAATGTCTGGTGTTATAAACCTATGTCTCTCCTGTCTCCCTGTAGGATGTGCCTTTCTAACATACTGTGCCAGAGAGTCAGCACTGAAGGCCCAGAGCGCCCTCCATGAACAGAAGACTCTGCCAGGGGTAAGTGCCCCCGATCTGCCCTCTGTCACAGGCTAAAGCCCCCAGGGCAACCAGCCTGGAACGGGAGTCTACATTAACATAGGAATTATATCACAGTTGCTCACACACACACACATACACACACACACACACACACTATGAGGCACATGGGGACACGGTATACATTAAAACACACAAGAAGGCACACACAGATACGGAAACAGATGGAAAGAGTCACTTCTCAGACTCCCTCTCAGCCTCCTTTCTTATTCACTGTAACACACACACACACACACACACACACACACACACACACCCACTCACCTACACACGCATGCACACACGCGCAGACATACTAAAAGAGTGTGAGTGGCCTATCTCACCTTGCAGTGTCTTATTACACTAATCACCCCGGCGGAGATATTTGATAAGTGCTCCTTCATAACAGCCCGTGCCGTCCTTCCCCTGTCCTCTCACAATATGGCTGCCGCAGACACTAATTGCCTTGAGGAATCCCACTCTCATTATCACATATAATCAAACAGTAAGTATAAACAATCATTTTTACCATGTATATCACCATCTGGTGTTTTTGTTTTAATTCTCTCCCCTGTTTTTTTTTTTTTTCCCTCGTCTTCTATTGCCTGCCTTTGGCGGGCAGGTAACTTTTTCAATTAAAATAATGGCCTCTTCAAACGACACAGGTAAAACATACCTAGTAGTGGGCTCTTAAGCCCACCCAGGAGGACACCCTCAATCTGGGATGAGCGTGAGCTTGTGGTGTCTATCTGTACTTGATGTGTGTGAGGGGGATTTGACTCTCACATCAGGGGAATTATCGAGGTGTGATTGAATTACGCCCGCGGGTCCCTAAGAAGGAGAAACTGCTCCAGTGCCCAGGCTCCTCACTAGCCCCCCTCCACCCCCACTTTCCTTTCACCACATACCATGACACCCTCCCAGGCTGGGGCTTTAATCAGAGCCTCAGGATATCCATCTAAATCTCCAGGGAGGGAGAGAGGTGCGGAGAGACAGAAGGAGATAGGGGGAAAGGAAGAAAGTATGGGATGGGGAATAATTTGCAAAGGGTGGGGTAGGGGGGGCAGAAGTGGTTGATGGAGTTGAGGAGCTTTATATTGTTCCTCACTGTTGTGTTAATCAGTTGTTTGCACTTCACTGAATACCTGAGGTACTTCACTGAATGTTAGGCACACGGGTACACTGCGGCGAAAGAGTCCCTGGGAGACCAGGCTCCCTGGCTCGTTACCGCCTCCCACAGCTTCATAACGAGATGATTGTCATGATGGTCCTGGATAGGTGTTCCTGTCTTTATTGCCCTCATAGAGGGACATTCTTGTTTGTCTTCTATCAAGAAAGAGGTTAATGGCATGTTCTGTGGGGTTTGGGTAAACATTTCCCCTGTACAGCTCACAGCGAGAGGTCAGTCCTGCAATCTTGGGGTGAGCACAGCCTGCATACAGAAGGCTAATAAAGATGTTCTGTCTGTCTGCGAGAAAGAGAGAGACAGAGAGAGAGAGAGAGAAAACTGTGAGGGTGGGAGAGACAGACAGAGACAGACAAAGACCGGGAGAGGTGACACTTCTGGACAAGCCTCATTGTCATTGTCATGGCCTGATGGTTTGAGATGCTCGATCGTATAATGCTGCCATTTCAGTAGCTTCTCTACACAGCATTGCAGACATGTTTGTGCAGTCTGGTTGTGGCTGTGTGACTGTCAGGCAACCTAAATGCAAATTTTGTTCAAATGAGACATCTGGCATTTTTTAAAAATACATCAGCATCTTTCTCTCGCAAGAAGATATGTGAAACTAAATTAAAATAAAATTTGGGGTGAACAAAATAATACAAACACTGCCTAAAAAACTGAATGTGATGCAGGTAAATCACATTTGCAGAAGCAGCTGCAGCAGTCATGTCACACGAGGTTAAATGCAAATTATGTATGAGTGTGTTGGTTTTAAAGGAGCTTTGACACTCAGCAGCCTAAATCACCATGTTTATCTTTTTCCTTATATATGGAGGATGTTACATCTGGAGAAAGACAAACTACTTCTTCCCAGATACCAGATGAAGTCATTGTATGTCATCTTCCCTTAGACCTAAAGGTCACTGAGTTAAAGCAGTTAAAGCCTAAAAGCACAGAGAATGATGGATTTCACTTATTTATCTCCCAGGTTTGATCCAGACTATCCACGCATCCATTAGCTATACAGCTTATCGTAGGGGTGGGAGCTGGAGCCAATCGCAGCTGACATTGGGCGAGGTACACCCCGAGACAGGTCACCACACTTTCACAGGGTTTACATATGAGGAAAGTATTGCAAGCCACACAGAAAGGCCCCCAGCCGACCGGCAGGTTCAAACCATGAACCGTCTTTCACTGTGCAACCGTGCCGCCCTGATCCAGACTGGCAGTTTCCAAATAATTCTTCACATAGAGTCTACAGATTCAGCTTGTACTTGAAAACATTCCAACCAAAAAATGAGGAGGACCGGGAAAGAGAGTGTATGCATGTGAGTTTGATGAACCGTTGTCCTGGTGACCAATCGGCTTTGGTCTGCGACAGACAAAGCCGGAGCATTGTGAGTATGGCTTGCTTTATGCTCCTTCTGGCATCTGTCAAAAGGAAAGTAGTCTCTACTGGGGAGAGCAGAGGTCATAAGAGCCTCACAATTCTTGTCCCATGTTTCCATTTTTGCCGTCTGTCTGCTACATTATGGTTTGTTGAAGCTTGATTTGCTGAGAGGAAAAGAAGGACAGATGCTAGTACTACAGCATGTCCTATGCATCATGCAGGACACATACACATATTGGCAAAGTATATAGAGATACTGTATATGCAGCATTCACATACAATAAGGGATGGTGTGGAGTCTTGAATCTCCCATTGTATTCTGCTTAGTCGTAACACTGCACTGTTTGTCCATGAACAGCAATGTATTACAATATGTTATTTACTGTGGCTGCTTATATGGCACAAAAAATGGTGGTGGGGTGGTAACTAATATGGTAAGATTCAAAGTTTCCCAACAACACAAAGATTTAGTTGCTGCATATTGTTACTGTACAAACACATGAAATATTAATTGATTTAGAGGGATGAATAACTCATTTGTATATACAAAGAATTAATTAACGCAAATTGAACTTCAACCAAAAAAAGCATTTTTATATTGGCCTCACTGATTATGCCTTTAAAGATTTAAACAAGAAGTTTTCCCTCTAAAAATGAGAAGTTCACTCAGTCGAAGGAACATGTTCATGTTCAAGTATCTCGGTCAGAGTGCTGCACTTCTACTTGTGTGTCCTTCATAATACTTTCATTGTTACAAAATGTATTTGCTTCATTTTTCCTGCTCGGCGCAGATATTTTCACATTATCACACTGTGTGCATTTCACAAAACGAAGAGACTACAGGCTTAACAGTGAGACAGAGAGGAGGCAAAGATGTGTGTGCGTGCGTGTGTGTGTGTGTGTGTGTGTGGTCTCAGCAGGAAGTTAGACTCTTACATCATCTCCAGATTGGCTGTGAGTCTTACATTTTCCATAATTCACATTCCTTCATTTACTAAATCTTGTACTATGCGTACCGCATTTGAATTGCCACCGGGGAATCCGGCTCTGTCTGTTGTGGCTGAAGCGAGCTTTGTTTACATTGTTTGATTAATTGCATGTAAAGAGCATAATGAGCTCTTGATGTCCTGTGCATCAGATCCTGCTGCTACAGTTTGTACAGTAAATGTAATCAGAGATTCAGCCTCTTGCTCTTGGTGAGCTCGTAGTGCTGTTGTGTTTACGTGCTCATTCAGCATATTCCCCAGTGTAGGGCAGCGTGGCACTGTGCAGTGGCAAGACAAAGTAAGTGAACCTTTTGGTATCTGCATATGAGTATAAATTTGTCCCAAAATAAGCTCAGGTCTTCATCAAAGTTACAATTATGAACAAACAACAATCAGTTTTAACTTATAACACACAAATCATTGTGTTGTTCTTGTCCTTATTGAAAAAAAAAATCATCCTAACATTCGGAGTGTAGGCTGGAAAAAGTGTGTGAATTTCTTGACTTGACTTGATCACATCAAGAAAAGCTAATTGGAGTCAGGAGTTATCAAACCTGGAGTCCAAACAATGAAACAAGATTGGAGGTGTGGGTTAGAGCTACTCTGAATTATAAAAAAAAAAAAAAAAAAACTCTTTCAGTTTGCTATTCACAAGAAACATCTGCTGAAATTAACCATGCCTCGTAAAGAAAAGCTCAGAAGAATTAGGATCAAGAATTGTTGATTTGCATGAAGCTGAAATGGTTACAGATTCATCTCATAGAGTTTAAATATTCATCAGTCCACAGTCAGACAAACTGTCTATAAATGGGGATGATTTATTTCTGTGGCCACTCTCCCTAGAAGTGGGCGTCTGGCTAAGATGACTCCAAAAGGTTTAAAATAATCATTGGAGCTGGTTAACATCACTGTTGAGAGCCCACCATACCCACATCATGGTACATGGAGCATGGAGGAAGGTGCTGCTCTCCAAAATAAAATATCACTGTGTGTCAGAAGTTAGCCAGAGAGCAGCTTGACACTCCACAGTACTACATAGAAAATGTTTGCTGGACTGATCAAAGTCAGGTTGAATTGTTTGGGAAGAACATTCAGCACCACGTATGGTGTAAAAAAAAAAAAAAAAAGGGAACTGCATACCAACGTGAAAACATCATCCCTGTGTGCCTGGACGGCTCCACATGATCGAGGGGAAAATGAATTTATTGTTTATCAAAGTATCTTACAGGATACTGTCAGGGTGTCTGTCCATCTGCTGAAGCCCAGGAGAAGCCGGGTGATGGAGCAGGACAATGACCCTAAACATCAAAGCAAATCTACTACAGAACGACTTCAAACAAAGAAAATCCACCTTTTGGAGTCGAGTCAGAGTCAGAGAGGACTGTGGAATAACCTGAAGAGAGCCACTCACACCACATATCCTAAGAATATGTCTGAG